GCCCCTCAACTCTAGAAAGGCATTATCTCTTCCCACCATTTAGCCATTGATAATGAAGGCTGGTGATTAAAATGTAGTAAGCTATAAAACATTTCCATATGACTTCAGACACAATAACAATCTACAGAATGTTCTTACTTCATCAACCAGCCTATTTGCTGTGGCCCTCAGTCCCCTGACCTGACTGGATCTGGGATTGAATCTTCCAGCAAACTTTTACTCTTTCTCTGAAGTCTGTCCACGCCATGATATTCTGGGGCTTAGAACAAACTAGAGTAGCAATCTTGGGCCTTTTCCACTCCTGTCCTGTGGTGGTGAGGAAAATTCCAGATACTACAATTTCTCAGACTCAAATGTGCTGTCAAATAACCATTTCCTCTTGTTCTGAGTCTCACAACTTACCCACAGCTTCTAAGTTCCCTCCAGTCCTGAACTTTGGATCACTGGCCCACTTCTCTGTTGAGACACACGACATTGTTCCCTGTTTTGTTTCTCTTTGCAGCCCATTTTCTCCAGAGCAGATCCAATGCATCCTGGCTATGGAATGATACACTTTCATATAACTTCTGCTTCCTCTTTTTGACTCTATTGAATCTCCCCCTTACTCGCAGCAATAACTGCCTTATAGTCTGTTCGTGGAGTTGTCTATGCCATGCTGGAGGGCATACTTAGAGGGATGGAAGTACTGCCACGCATAGAATCCCTGTGATGTTCCTCTGACTGGCAAATCCATTTAGGTTGGGAATACTTAACCATGCCTCAGTTTTCTTTGGCGGACCTGGAAGACCAGAAATGATCACCAGAAAAATCTCTAGTCCATCACTAGAGAAAGGAACTGGAAGGTTGTAATGAGGGCTGGGGAGATCCTTCAGTGGGAAAAAGCACTTGCCCTGCTAACAGGAGAACCTGAGTTGAAACCACCACAACCTATGTAAAAGCATGACATGGTGGCATAAGTGTCTTTAATCTCAGACCTCTCACAAGGAGTGCTATGTGGAGATAGGACAACCTCCAGAAGCCCATGGGCTAGTTAGACTAAAGTCAAAGAAACTGTACCAAGTAAAGTGGAAAGTAAGGACCAACACCTAATGCTGTCATCTAACCTTTACAAATGCAGTGTGACATGAGTATGATCTTGTCCAAAAAAAATCACTAAAGAAACTCCCAGACTCAAATAGTATGAAAACACAAAGAGCATTTATTCTGCAGAAATAGCATGCAGGGGTCAACCCAATCATCCACACAAAATAGAGATGAGGACCGGGACAAAGATGTGCAGGCCCCTTTAAAGGGAACTCAGGGAATTCTAAGTATCTTTGTTTTAACTGGCAATCATGGAACAGTTACATGGGGCACACTTTGATTGGACAAGACTAGGAGAGTTCCACCCATTGCAGGCTTTTTAGTCATGTATGGTCAGTAACAGCTGTTGTCCTGTAATGTTTGGGTCTCTCTGCCTTGTGAGGCTGGGTTTGAAACTGTTTGGCTGATTGGCCAAACTTGGCTAGGGGACTTCCTGGATTCCATCTTAGTTCATTATTTACAATGGGATAGTTTTATGTCTAAGATGGAGATACACTCTGACTCCTTCAATCTTACACACAAAAGTACATGCATCCACACATATACATTTTACACACAAACAAAAGCAAAAAGGAAATTGAAACATCTATATATAGGACCATCAAGATGTGTCAGTGAGTAAAGGTACTTGCTGCCAAGCCTAATGACCAGAGTTTGAACTCTGGAACCCACACGGTGGAAGGAAACAAACAACTCTGAAAGCTGTCCTCTGATATCTACATGTAAGTCACAGTGCATGTGTGCTTGCATGCTAAATAAAATTTTGAAATCTTAAAATACTTGTATATGAAAGCAGAGAAACTTGGTGGTTATGGTGATATTTTTATAGAAGAGCTAGTAAGGACAGAACACTGGCTGAAAGAAATGGACAACTCATGGACTAGCCTTTCCTCAATCAGTGACTGCATACTTGATGCCATGCAGCGTTTCTCTTGTGACAGTCATAAAGAAAGACTTTGAAACACTTTAGAGCAGAACGTAAGTGGTGAGTGTTCTAATACCTACTTTCCCACTGTTGAACCCTTGTCCTTCGGTTTCAGTTCCCTTACCCATAAGATTTGAGTTCTTATGTTTAGCTCTTAAGTTTAGTTCTTAACTGCTGTGGTTTCTTGTGGGACCACAGATCAGTATTTGGAAAAGTCTGGCTTTTAAAAAATACAGAAAAGAATGGGAACTTGGAGGAAGTCCAGGGTTTTCAGATAATTATTCTTTAGCTCTAGAAGGACTCAAGAAATAACTTGTAGAGGACTGTTGGAATCTTGCCTCTCTTGTGCCTGTGCAATTTATACTAACAATTAGTAGGAGACAGGCCCCTCCCTCACAGTCAAATGCACTATTGTACACAGTTGCAAAGGTTGTCCTCTGCAAGACTACTTGCTCACCACCATATGGTCAAGAATGCCTGTCATTTAGTCCTCCTTCCTCTTCCCTAGCTCTTTTTCCTCACTATATCGACTATATCAACTATATCAACTCACATAGAAGAGTACCTTTGGCTAACTTGTTTATCCAGAGAGCCCATCAGCTCCTATTGAGTACTGAGAAGTTGTATAAATGAACACTTTGAGCTAGGAATTGAAGTGAGAAATGGGTGTTCAAATAGAAAACAACCACTGAGGCTGAGAATGAGTCGGGAGTAAATGGCTAAGTATAAAAAAGAAAAAGATGTGGTTAAGAGGAACCCAATAGCTTTATTCCTTGCAGACCAGGTCAGGCCAGGCCAGGCCAGGGCAGTACAGTGCAGGCAGGGAAGGCAGAGAAATCCCAGCAGTTACCAATGATAACTCTTTGGTTTGACCAGAGGGTTGGATCAGCTGACCAGTCTGTGTGTTAGATGGAAGTTCTCTCCAGGGTCCTACCTGCCCTCCTGTTGATTCTCTTTTCATTTTCACTATTGGTTGGAAACAGTAACAGATGATTTTATTTATTTGCCTGGCAAATAAAGCCTGTGTGTGTGTGTGTGTGTGTGTGTGTGTGTGTGTGTGTGTGTGTGAGCGAGCATGCGTGCATACACACGCGCACTTGCACGTGCCCCCACATACATAATCATGTTTTATTAGATTCCATTTAACTGTTCTGTAATTTGTTAATATTTTGAATCTTTGAACCCAAACCACAAGAGTCACATTTTTCTATCAAGTCCAAGATACCCTGCTCAAACACTCTACTACTTTTGTGTTGGTGCTGTTATTATTTAGAGTGTTGGTTTTCTGAAATAGGATCTCAGTGTGAAGCCTTTGCTGACCTGGAACCTACTACAGAAAGCAAGCTGTTCTCAAATGTATGTTGATCCTCCTGCCTCTACCTTCCAAGTGTGTACTACAATACTTGGCTAGAACTTAGCAACAGTGTAACAGTGTTTCAGGTGAAATGAAGTAAGTGATAGGTGTTCACATGAAGTCTTTGATTTCTGAGGCCTTACCCTCTTGAGGCTATGCCTTCCCTGTGGTGATGGACTTCATAATTTCTTAGGCTGTAAGCCGAAATAAATCTTTCCTTTCTTTAAAAAAAAAAAAAAAAAAAAAAAAAAAAAAAAAAGATGACTGGTTATGTCACAAATGCCTGTGTTCCTTGATGACCTGGGTCCTGGAAATCACTCTTTTAAAAAAAAATTGTCTGGTTATGTCACAAATCACTGAGCCGTCTATGTCCCTTGATGACCTGGGTCCTGGAAAGCTCTCCCCAACCATGGCCAGATCTTGAATTCCTCAGGGACTGGTCCTCAGAGGTCACTCTAGGAATGATCACCCAAGCCATTCTGTGATGCATGCAAGGCATTCCTTCATAACCAGGCTTTCTATGGTCCACATAAATAAATGTCACCCCAATGTGGTTATCACTTATTTGGTGAGACAAGGTACTGTAGGACAAAACATCTCACTTGGGTCTATTTTTTTTTCTCAAGAAGCCAGCAAGCTCTCTCTGTAAAGAGTTGGCTTCTCAGGACAAGAGAAGAATATCGTGTATGTTATCACACAATGAGAGAAAAACAAAACAAAACAAAAACTCCCACAGTTATTTCATTTATAAAACTCAAAGGTGACTAACAGCTGAGGGCAGTTTTATACTACTATTTACCAATGAGAAAAGACATAATTACTTTTTGAGGGTGATGATATTTTTATAATTATAGACTGAAGTTTGTGGTCTTATTCAGCATGTCAAATTTCCAAATGTTCCTTTGCAAAATTTGGTTTTTACTTCTAGGACAGACTTGGCTCCAAGGTTCTTGACTGTGGGTTTGTGGATGCATTTCTAGGGGGAAACTTGATGAGGCCCTGGCCCTGGAAGCTTCAAGTCTAATTTTACCCAATCAAATCAGAGAAGGAAAAATCCCAAGCTTCTAGACTGTTCGTCAATTCATTCATTCATCCATTCAATGAACATTTACTTTATTTCTTAAATGAACATTTATTGAACTTACATTGCATATCAGGTGCTACATGAAGTAGAAGGGCCCAGCCATGGTTCAGTGGGCAAAAACCCTAGCTATTTATATAGTGTGGCAGCCTTGAAAATGTGTGGAATAAAGAAGAAACACTTGTGAGTTAAATAACTCATGTTTCAGAAATTCCAACTTTGATACAAGCTTATGATAAAGGTGTTTATTTTTAAAGAATGCACTACATCTTTTTTTTTCATTAAAATGGTATTTTCTCTGTTTTCTCGCCCATTTCCTCTAATCCTGCTCACCAAAATCCTAAGATATCCATAGACACAAATACATGTCAACTCACAAAATTTGCTGTGTGGGTTATATGAAAATAATTTTATAAATGACTTTTCTTCTGATTTTAGTTTCGAAATTTTGAAGCAGAGCCAATAAATGATTTGGCAACAGTTAAGAAATCACAAGTTCCTGTCTTCCCATATAAACTTCTGCAAATCCCATGCTAGGTTCCACTGAGGCTAAAGAGACCAAATTTCAGAAGTTTGCCAATGCCTTCTCTATGTACAACTACTTTACACAAAGAACAGCACTGCACTATTTCTGCAAGCTATTTAAAGAGAGCCTTGAAGGGACTACAACTGGGAAGAGGTAAGTTGGGCCTGATCTTGTCTCAAAAATCTCCAGGAAACATGGTTGGTGGCTAATGATGTGAACAAAGAAAGTACTAATTGAGCAAAGCACTGACAGAAGTCAAAGAAATCTAGTAGCACATATTGTATGCTGAGAGGTTTGCCAGTCAGATGAGCTTGTGTGGATATTTGTACAAACTAATTAGAGAGTAAACTTTGAAAGCTGACTGCAGAGATACTGATATCATTTTAAACAAGGAAACAAGACCCTTCCAAGTTAGAATTTGAGCTCATCTACTAGTTTCTCGCCCTGATAAAGAGCATATTTTCCTCCAGAACAACAGGGATGGAGATGATAGGGGAGACAAACTTTTATTTTATCTTCCCTTGGCTGTAGAACATGATTAGTTCCCTCCCTTTACAGCAGTGATTCTCAACCTTCCTAATGATGTGACCCTTTCATACAGTTCTTCATGATGCAGTGAACCCCACCCATAAAATTATTTGTTACTATTTCACAACTGTAATTGTGCTACTGTTATGAAGAATCATAATGTAAATATCTGTGTTTCCCCATGATCTTAGGTGACCCACAAAGGGTCATGACACATAGGTTGAGAACCACTGCTTTACAGACATAGCTCAGTCTCTGCAGCCTAGTGATGGCTGAACTTAACTACTAAAAGTTGAATTTCAGCAACAACAGTTACTTTTCCTGGTTGGAGCTTTAAAACACACACCTTACCACCTCTACCGCTTTTGCTCTACATTGTCTAGATACATACAGTATGTAGTCTGTTTTTATCAGTGTCAAAAAGTATCAGATTGAAAAGCAAACATACTACAAGTCTTGCTGAATAATGTATTTTATAGAAAATTCAGAGAAGTTTAAAGAGCAATTGCAAAGTCTGACTTGAAAAGAATTTCATCCAAAATTAACCATATATATTTTCCCCAGCCATTTAGTGCTCATTAAAGTCCTTGGCTTGACTGTAACAATAACTTAATGCCTGTTCAACTTATTGGAAGTTAATTTTTGTACTCACTTAAAGTCTGTTATAAATTTTGAATATATACTCATTTTGCACTAAAATTTTATGATGCTTACAAATGAGTGCACTGGCCTATATGGAATTGGTCCAAATAGATCAATAGCACATGACATTGCAATTGAAGTAGTTCATTTCTATTTGATGAATTGCTATGATGGTCAATATATTTGTAACATAAGAAAGTAAAATATAGAATAATAAGAAAATCAAAGTAAGCTTGTACTACTACCCACCACATTCCCATTGGTGATAGGTGGGAGCAAAAAAAAAAAAAAAAAAAAACCTCTTGATACAAAAATTAGAATTGTGGAGAGAATCTTAAGAGGAAAAAGGTGCTGTGTCTAGCTAGGCACTGGCAGCTTTGGAAATATCACGTGCCTCCAATGTGCAGTCACAGTTAAAAGTCACTTTCTCAGTGATAGACGAAGGACTTTGTCTTTTCATTAATGAACACAGTATTTTCTTAGGAATGGGACAGAAGATTCTGGAAAGCTCTGAAGCTTGTTTACTAGCCACCATGGCTTGATTTCAGAGAGCAAAGTAGAAGCTCTGACAAGCTGAGATCATGGATAAACATGATGGCAGTTGAGTGTCTAGACACTATCCAAGAGATTAGTATTGTGTCTAGAGTTCAGCCTGAGCATATCCCCAAAGAGTCTCTCCATGATTCTAACTTCTACCAAGAGGTCCTTGACTTCCACCTGCCACCAAAGGTAATGAAGTGGGTAGTTTTACAAGTTTACTTTCATTGTCTCACTGTTCTATATTCTACTTTATTTTGATACAGTTAAGCTGACCATCATAGAGTTCATTGTCCTTCAATCACTGCTTTTTATCTTTCCATGTAATAAAAATCATCAGAATTGATAGGAAAGAAGGCAGACTTGTGGGAAGCTCAAACTCAGAGAGAATGCTATGGCAGAGGGAATCATTACCCATAGTTAGATAATATCTCCAGGCACATCATTATGACACCCACTGGGACTATCCTGGACATCACTGTTCTGAAGGAATACCTTTCTAAGTTCAACTGGGATGTTAAATGGAGACTTGATATTTTTACATATGTGTATTGAGTAGCAATTGTATATGTGTGCATTCCTTAGACTCTGTCTATTTTAATGTTTGTGACAGGGTCCCTTGCTTAGCTGGAACTTGCCAAATATGCTACATTGGGTGATCAATGAACCCTACTGTTATACCTGGCTCTGCCTTTCCAGACACTATGCATAGGTTTTCTTTTAACTTTCTTTTTCATCCTTCCTTCTTTCCTCCCCCAACCCTCTCTCATTGTTATGTGGTTCTGGAGATCAAACTCAGTTCCTTGTGCTTTCAAAGCAAGTATGTTTTATCAATAGAGACATATTACTTTTTTTTTTTTTTTTACTATTTACAGATTTTGCTATTTTTAAACTGTAAACTCAAAATATGATTGTTGGGAGATATGAACTAAGTTTATTTTAACACCAAGCCTGTGGTTCTAGATGTGCATTAGCAAATGCAAACTACGCTTTTTTTCAGGTGGTAAGAGAGAGCTGCTCATTTGTACCTAAGTCTAATCTCATTAGCTTTGGGGCCATCCTGTTGAAATTCAAAAACCTGGAATGCAAGAGATGCTCTCTGTGGTGGCACAGAAAAGCAAAGTAACATATCTGCCCCCAGTGTTTGTACCGTGTAAATGTGAAATATATGATGGTTTATTATTTTTTGAGAGTTGTTTGTTATTTGTTTGAGTGTTTTGCTTGTATGTGTGTATTGTACCTTGTGTTTGCCTGATACCCATAGGTATGATGTTAGATTGCCTGGAGCTGGAGTTGTAGGTGGTTGTGACTCAACAAATACGTGCTGGGAACAGAACTCAGGTCTTCTGCAAAAGCAGTAAGTCTTTTATCTACTGAGCCACCTCTCTAACCCATAGCTGTAATGTTTTTGCTCATTACTGTAACCAGATCATTGTCAATTTTCTCCTTAGGTTTCAGCCCTGACTCATAGAATCATCTGAGCATATCTAAGCTGTGTTTCAGTTTGGCTACCTACTATGGGAGGGACCTTGGATAAATTAACCTCTCAAAGCATCAGGTTCCAAGTTTGGGAAACAGGAACTTATGATACCAGCCACCTTGTTGATTTTTATAAGGCTGGAATAAACAGATGCATGCACTATACTCCCCTTATGGCAAACCCTTTCATGCTTTTCACATACTCTTAAGTGTGTTGAAGCAGGATCCATTTCTTCAGCATCAAGTGCTTTTGACTGGCATTTTTTTCTCCTATCCTCCAAAGAAGTGCAAGACTCCATCATATTTGGGGAAGATATAATAAAGTATCAACTATTAATTTCAACTAAGATGATAAATCACATTTGTATATCTATTTTTTAAAAATGCTTTATTTTTTGTATGCATTTGCCTGCATGGCTGGTGCCCTCGGAGATAGTGTCAGATCCTCCAGAACTTTGGAGTTTTCAGGCCTAAGCAGGACCATTTCCAGATTTCCAGAAAAGAGTACAGGTGGTCTGTGGTAAATTATACCAGGATAAGGGAAGTCAAACTTGTTTTTCTTGCACTGCTAGGAGGAAGAATTCAGGGCCTTTGGCGATGAGCACTCAACTGCTAAACTACACTACCAAATTCTTTTTGTGTTTTGTTTGTTGGCTTGGTTTGGTTTTTAATTTTTGAGCCAGGATCTCACTAGGTAACTCCAGTTAGTCTTGACCTCACAATTCTCTTGCCTCTGAGTCCAACTTGTCTTGAAAGAAACCTTGAAGAGGGAGAAGAAAAGAGTTAGTTATCTGTGCAAAATGACTGAATTCTAAGAGGTGGGCAAAAGGGGTACAACTCTTCACCCTGCTTCCCCGCCTGCACTGTGGATTGTGAGGGGATCATTTGGGCCTCACCTAGAGGTGCCATGGTCGTAGTACTCCTGCACCTAGAGTTTTCCTATCTGATGACCACTGGACCAACTGGTACAGGGTGGCTCCCAGCCCACCCATAATCAGCTAGGGGGCACTTTGAGAACTGCTCTTTTCATTATACCAGTGTTTCCAAAGGGCTCAGTACGAGTCTATCCAGGTACAATGTGAAAAGGAAGATTTGTGTGAGGTGACAGAGGTGGAGTTCCCTGTGTTGTTCAATGACTGCAATGATGGCTATGCACCATGGATGCAATCACTGTGCAGATTGTGCTCAGAAAATAGAAAAACAAAACAAAAAGCTATGAAACTACTTCCAGAGTAATGGTAGCTGCTTTTTGATAGACAGAGGGGAAGTTAAGCAATTTTCTTACTTTCTGTTGTTACTATTTCAGTGGTGTTTATGATTTATGAGCTTTCTTTAAATAAATGAGTTTCGGTTTTCTCCAGTTGACCAAGGCAGCTCTGTCCTTCTCTTCAGTGGTTTCAGGCTGTCAGATGAAGGTATGACTGTGCAAAGAGCTTTTTGGACCAAATATCCCAGAAAACCACTGTTTTTTATACACTCTCACTTTCATGTTTAGCCAAGTGTCACAAATGTGAGTGCTCAAATAGCAGAAATGTATGTTTTTTTACTGTTTCACAAATCCAAAATCCACATGATACAGGAAGACGTAAATTCTTTGTGAGGGGGGTCTGAAGAGAAGCCTAAGAAAGGACAGGGGCACTAGGAAGCTCAGTGTTCAAGGTAAATAATATCTTTGTGCTACCATAACAACAAACCAGGGACAGGAGAAATTGTTCAGCAATTAAAAACTTGCATTGCAGCCAGGTGGTGGTGGTGCATGTCTTTAATCCCAGCACTTGGGAGGCAGACGCAGGTGGATCTCTTGAGTTCAAGGCCAATCTGGTCAACAGAGTGAATTCCGGGACATCCAGGGCTGTTACACAGAGAAACCCTGTCTTGAAAACCAAAACAAACAAACAAACAAAATAAAACAAAAACAAAAGCTTTCATTGCTCTTGTAGTAAAAGATCAAGAGCTCAGTTCTCAGC